ATTTTGAATCTGAAAAGAGCTTCACTGAGTGAGAAGTAGTGTTAAGAGCAGCAGACAGATTAAGTTTCACTTTCACTTTGCTGTTACTGCCGAGAGCCTGCAGGAGTCATGGGCAGTGTGTGTAGGGTTGGGGGTGGGGAGGTGTGCTCTGTGATGAGGAAGTTCGGCTTAAAGACACGTCCCAGAGGCGTTTCTAGTCTCCACCTGTCGTTTTGCTCCTCAACATGTCTTCCTAAAAACATTGCAGGACTTCTCAAACATGCATGAATGAGTCAAAGCAAGGCTTTGGGCATGTTTTTTATAAGAGTATAACATTATAGCATGATATAAAACTAAAAAAAAGTTGATTTTACATGATATTGCCCCTTTAAATAAGCTGTAATTTTTTTTTCAAAAGACTTTAACAAAGCAAAACTTTGGCATGGCAGCAAAAAACGCAACTTACAAAACAACCTGGAACWTGAATAGGTAACATGGAAGGCATTTTCTTTTACATTCCCATGCAATATTGAGTTATCTCGCAAAAGCCATTTGTGTTCGGTTTATTAGTCCCTTTATAACCAAAGCTGGAGCTGTGTCTGCATTCATGACACAAAGTTGAGCTCGTTCAGASTGCGGGTTGGATTCTGTCTCTCCGGTCCTGTTTGTAATGTTTATGGACAGGAGTTTATGGGGGTTATCTGTGTGTCTTGTTCATGAGTGATGGAGCAGGAGATGGAWTGGGGCCTCGTCCTCAGTAATGAGGGTGTTGCTTTGGTCGGGCGTGGTGAAGAAAGAGCTAAATYAAAAGGTAAATCTCTCGATTTACTCTACGTTCCAGCCCTCACCTGTGACGCATGGATTAAGACCGAAAGGGGATCCTGGATACAAGTGGCCAAAATGAGCTTCCTTCATGGGGTGGCCAGGCTCAGCCTTATAAGGTGAGGAGCTCAGTCATCAGTGGGGAGCTTGGAGCAGAGCTGCTGCTCTTCTGCATCGRAAGAAGTCAGTTGAGGTGATTCATCTGATTAGGATGATCCCTTTAGAGGTGTTCAGGTCATGTCCCACTCGCAGGAAGCCCCAGGGAGGACACAGGACTCGCTGGAGGGATTGTGTATCCTCTCTGCCCTGGGAAAGCCTCGGGGTCTCACAGGACGAGCTGGAAAGTGTCACTGGGGAGAGGGATATCTGGGTTTCTCTCCTGGACTTGTCTCCTCAACAGCTATGACTACAGATAAGCGGCAGAAGGTGATGTACTTGAAGTATGCGTCTTTTTGGGAAGGGTAGTACTAAATGCTCCAGGGGCGTCTTTGGTAAATCTCTTTTTCTTGATAAAATCTTTGAATAGTTCTTAAATTTTAAAAGTTTGAGTCTATCAGAGATTTGAAGTGTATTGAGAAGAAAGAACTGAAGATAAAATGTCATTGTTTTTATTGAGAGGCCATCAAACTTAATTGGCTGCTACAGTTTAGAGCTCAYTGTACTTTATGTGTTGTGCTTTTTTTTATTTAATAGCTGCTACTAATAAAAGAGATCTCTAAACTCAATGGCACTTCATAGTAAAAGATATGTTTAGAGTACAGCGCAAATCCTTATTGTATGTATTGTAAATAAATCTGAAGAAAAAACTGAAGCGGACTTCAGTAGCTGAAAATTAGCAGAAAGATGCTGAAAAGAGGGGGAAAAAGCTGAATTTTGGTCACCATCTTGAATTTTTTGATTCATTGTGTATGTGTTTGGGAGTTCTCAGCTACTACCACATCAAATTTTTGCCCAGTATGTCTAAAAATTAATTCTTGCTACATTAGTATTAGCTTTTGTAGCCACAAAGTCAAACATTAACCCAGTTCTCTTTACGAATACGCTTCACTTCCCATTCGAGGAGTTTTCTCAACTAATAAAGAATAGCCTATATGCCACGGACATCCGGTCCAGCACTGGATGCCACTCCCAGCACTTCCGGTTCACGGTCAACA